CATCATCTTGCATTATCTTGATAATATGTAGGTAGTTGGGTCAGACATACAAGAAATCAACAAGTTTAAATGGCAGTTGTCCAGATACTTCGAGATGAAGGACTTAGGGTTGCTAAAGAGATTTTAGTCGTATACATAGTCAAACGGCTTTAAGGATCCTTAAAATTTCATAAAAGAGGTATATCCATAAATTTTTTGTAACACCCGGTCCATGGTACGTATTTAATTCAAGTATTTTTCATGTTTTGCCCTGGGACTTGGCGACTTGGAGGCCCAACTCGTCGAGTAGACTCCGCATTGGACCCAAAGGTTTAGTTACCTACTCGATGAGTCAAGGGACCGACTCGACGAGTAGGAGCTGTTGAGAGGAAACCCTAATGTTAGGGTTTGCACCATATCTAAACATATTATTCTGCCTCAACCCATCCCCCATCGTGCCTCCCAACCTAGAGACCGTAAGCCCCTTTTGAGTGTTCTTGAGCTTTTTGGTGACTTTTATGTGCATTTGAAGTTAGAAGAGAAGAAGAAATCTTGGGAGTTAAAGTGGAAGCTAGTAGATCCAGTGGTTTTTCTTCATTCTCTGTTCATTCAAGGTAAAAAGCTTGAACATTGACCATCTATCTCCTAGATCTTTTTTAGGGCTATTTTCTACCTTTTTCTAAGCTTTTGAGAGGCTATACTCGGATTTATATGTATACATGGAGTTACACTTCAGATCTGGAACCATTGAGAGTTCCCATGGCATAAAGGTGCCAACTTTATGGCCTTGGGAGACCCATGCAACATATAAACCCCTTTTTATGGCTTTTTAAGCCAAAGGCCCCATGCATAGACATCAAGTTTATATCTTTACGTGTAAAATGCACTCTAAGAGGCCAGATATATGGTTTTAATGCATTGAGACCCATTATAATCGACTGAATAATTTCTAACAAAGAGGGACTCGACGAGTCACTTGGGTGACTCGGCGAGTCGGGTCGCATTTTCCCCAAATGCCTTCTGGAAATGTTCTGTGGTTGAGTGGAAGGAACACTTAGCCTGTTAGGAGTTTGTTATGGACTTGAATATCGAAGGACTCGACGAGTTCAAGGCAATGTCCCAACCACATGAAGACGGACTCGACGAGTTCAAGGATGAACTCGGCGGGTCGTAGACTGAACACCTGCATATGGATGAAGATGAACTCCACGAATTCAAGGACAAACTCAACGAGTCGGTTGAAGATAGTCAGATGTGTTGTTGAAGGCGAACTCGTCGAGCTCTTGCCAGACTCGAAGAGTAGGGACATGATTATGGCATTTTGTAGTCATGAGGACTCAGCGAGTTGGTGGACCAACTCGGCGAGTCGAGTCAACCAGATGTTGACTTTGACCAAGGTTTTGACATTGACTTTGACTAAGATTTGAGTGACCCTTGTAAGGGTTATAAGTATGAATTGATAACTTAGAAAAGTTGTCGTATAGTAATCGAGGAGTCGAGAAGAGTTTGTTTCCGTACCGAGGATAGTGTAGACATTACACGACATTGAGGTGAGTTACCTTCCAGTAGAAGTGGGTCTAAGGCACCAAGGCCGACCCACTAGTAGTTGATTACAGTAGAGATGACTGTCTATGTGATAATTGTCTAGTTGCTATTATTAGATGTGTTATATGTGCCAATATGACATGTTCTATGTGCTAGTGATAGTAGGAAGGGGAATAGTCCCCGATTCAGTCGTTAGGACCGAAGGTTAGGTCGGACACCCCCAAATATCTGACAGCATGATTGTGATATATATATATATATATATATATATATATATATATATATATATATATATATAGAGAGAGAGAGAGAGAAAAGTGAATATACCCTTAAGGGTATATAAGTTTAGGTACCCAAACTCACTATACTACATCATTTTGTATTATATATTTAAATTGTAATTGTCTAATTTTTCTTATAATTCAACTTATAACTTGATTACTTCTAAGATTTTTATGAATTTCACATTTATCTTCCTCTTACATACTTTTCATTTTCAACTATAATATATATAGCCTAGTAGGGGTTTGGCAAAAAGATATGATATAACAAGAAGATAATAGTGAAATTTCGAAAATCTTCAAAGTAAATCAAGTTAGGGGTTGATGTTTAAGAACATTATAATGAATATATCTAACAAAACTACTAATTATGGTGGATTTGGGTACCTAAGCTTATATACCCTTAAGGGTATATTCACTTTTCCCATATATATATATATATATATATATATATATATATATATATATATATATATATATATATATATATATATTATGTGATAGTAATAGGGGGTGAAATAGTCCTCGTAGTTGGGTGAGATAGACCGGAGGGTAGGCAGGCACCCTAGAATGGTCTGACACGGGTAGGTCAGCACCCCATAATGGCTTGATATGGGTAGGTCAGCACCCTAGAATGGCTTGACACGGATAGGTCAGGCACCCAAGAACTACCCGACAGTGTGTATGGTTGTATGGTATGTAGTATGATGGGGGAACTCACTAAGCTTCATGCTTACCGTTTTTAGTTTTGTTTTTAGGTAACTCTTCAGCTAAGGGGAAGGAGTCGGCAGGGTAGCATCACATCGCACACATATGATTTCCACTTTGAGAACCTTGAGATTGTACTCTGTCATTTTACTATTTGATGTATAGTTTTCAAGACTTGTGATTTGTGACTTGATTTTCTGAAATGATAGCAACCATGTTTTTCGTAAGCTATAAGTAATGTAATTAAACAAAAAAAAATTGGGTTTCAATTTTGGGATGTTATAATTTTAAGACAAAACTACAAATTTAGTCCTTGTGGTATGTTAAAAATTGGAACTTTGGTCCAAAAAGTTTTGGAGTTGCACCAGTAGTCCAAAATAAGAATTATATTGTAGGTTTGGTCCAAAATTGGTTGAAAATATTTCAAATGACGAATTTACCCTTTTGATTTTGTTTTTTTCATTTTCTTTTATTTCCAGCAATTAAAGAAAACTCTAAATTAAAATACCCTCTCCCTCTCTCTCTACACAAAAAAACGACCTTCTAAAAAATATGTCCCTCTCTCTCTCTCTCTCTCTCTTTCTCTCTCTCTCTCTCTCTCTCTTCTCACTGACTCTCTCTCTCTCTCTCTCTCTTTCTCGTTTATGACCTTCTAAGGATGAACGCAGAACATGAATCTGAAAGATTTATACAAATGAAAATAGAAGAATACACAGAAGAACATGAATCTGAAATATTTATACCAAAAAAAAAATATGTTCTTGAGCAAAGAACATGAAACCAAGAACCAGAAACACACCCGATTTCAGAATTTACAAAACATACACCTTAAACAACGACAAACATGAAATCAAGAACCACAAAGAACATGAAAGATCTACCCATTTTCGTCTCTATGCCTAAGTCAAACTTTATTTCCCTTCATCTTCTCTTCATTCACACAAACACACCCGATTTCAGTTTTGATTCAAATTTAGGGTTTCAATTCAGATTTTCCCTTTGCCGCCACCGGAGAAGACTGTCTGTAAAGGTGGTCACAATCAATTATGACTCTTGGATGCGTGCGTCTCATGTGTGTCCTAACAAGAAGAAGAAATCGATGCCCTTTTCTACGAGTTATTCTTAATTGAATCAGGTGGCAAAAATTGCAGCTCCATTCATTCTATTTTCTCCTAAATCGATCGAGCTCTAATCTATTTTTATATTTCCTGAATAACACCAGGTTTGGTCCTCGTTTTCTAATCGATCTTAATCCTTCCCTCTTCTCGAATTTGATGTTGCAGATCTGTCATTTCTGGCACTGAAGCTCTATCAAGAAGACAGTGTGTGTATGTGTGTGTTGTGTTCTTGGGTCACAAGAATCCTTCGTTCCTCTTCGACTAGTGGAAAGGGTACCCAAAGAAGTACAACATGACTAAAATTGATGTAAATTGCTAGAATTACCAAAGACTATTTGATCTGTTATCGATTTGACAGGGGAATGAATAGAAAAATATAGAATTTAACCTTATTGCCACCATCGATGGTGAGGGGATGATCACAGTGACGAGAGAGAGAGAGAGAGAGAGAGAGAGAGAGAGAGAGAGATGTAAGTTTTTTTAATTATTTAAATACCAAATTAAATAAAGAAAATAGAAAAAAGAAATGAAAAGGGTAAAATCGACTTTTCAAGTGTATCAGGGACCAAAAACACAGAAAAACCTTGATATTGGACCTCACATGTAAGTTAAAAACTTTTTGGACCCTATCCAAAGATTTTTGTAAACCACAAGGACTAAATTTGCAGTTTTGTTTAAATTTAAGTTCAAGATAACAAATGTTAAAGCCCAAAGCACACATCTAGAGAGCCATCTCAAAATATCTAAAAGTTGGTCTTAGAAGACAGGATCATAGATGGTCTTTGGCAGCAAAGCTTCCATGGAGAATAGAAAGGGGAATAAGTAAGACGATGAGGAGAAGTCGACGTGGATCGAAGGAGAAGAGGGCATAGGCATTGTCAAAGGAAAGTCACTACGTGGCTATCTCATTTAATGACAAGACAAGGGTAATCGAATTATCCCCTTACTTTTTAAATAAAGACATTTTTAACCCATAAAACTCGAGTTTAAGCCTTAGAAGGCTAAAAAGATATCATGGGCATTTAAAACAAAACAAAAATGTTTACATGACTAAAAAATAAAATGTCATGTTCACTTAAAATAACGTTAAATCGACAATTATATCCAAAAAATTTCACACTCAACTTATCTGTACAGACAATTATAATTATATAAATAATTACCTTATCATATAACTTAAAAGATTACAATACTTTATATTAAAATTAATATATATAAAAATATTACTTTAAATATAATTATTTTTACCCATAATTATATTATGCTGACAATCGTCTATTCATTGAGAGAGACATTATGTGGGGTATCTAGTTGATTGATGATATTTGAATTTGCTTTACATTTTATCTGCCGACACAAAAAAGAAAAAGAAAGATAAAGCTTTTACTTTGCAGCAATTTCCCCCCATAAATAACAACATTCTTGCTCCATTTTTTGCTATTATTATTCTCACTCAACCTCTCTGTTTTCAAAAGCTTTTAACTTCTTATGGATATCTGCCAGAATATCCCCGTTTCCGGTGGACTTCCGACCAACTATCCGCCTGAGCAACACCTTATTTGCAGCCTTGACGATCTTCTTTCCGGTCATTCCATGGTACATTTCATCTCTCTTTTTCTCATGTGATTCATTCACTTGTACCTTTGAGTACAACCTCTATATGCCCAAATCCATTACAACCATGCAATAGTCCAGTAATGAGATGTACGTCATGCAACTAATGTTGTACCTTTTTGAATCCAGGAAGAAGATGATGTTAACATGGAATGGCTGTCAATTTTTGTGGAGGATTGTTTATCTAGTAGTGGGAGTTGTATGCCACCAGCAGCAAAACCCCAGAGTACAACTTCCACTGCAGAAGGTACAAACACATCAGCAGAACCAAAGGAGAAAGAAACTCATTTCCTTTCCACGCATAAAATAGTTGTACCTTGCAAGGCAAGAAGCAAGAGGAAGAGAAGCCAAACATGCTGGTCTCAGCAGTACCTTAACTCCCTTCAGCAGCCTTGTTGGTTAGCTGAGAGTGAGCTGATGATTTTCCCTAAGAAATGTACAAGTCCTCACAGCAGAGGTTCCGGGCAGGAGGAGGGGAGCAGCGGGCAGGGGCAAGGAAGGAAATGCACACATTGTCTCTCACAAAGAACCCCGCAATGGAGGGCAGGACCACTTGGACCAAAGACACTGTGTAATGCATGTGGGGTGAGGTACAAGTCGGGCAGGCTGCTGCCCGAATATAGGCCAGCCAAGAGTCCTACTTTTGTGAGCGATAAACATTCTAATTCTCATAGGAAAGTGTTGGAGATGAGAATGTCTTTTTTGCCCTCCCCCTCAACCAATTCATCGTCTTCTTCCTAGTGAGAGTGAGGTCTTAGTTGTAATTTTCCATCTTAACCCGTCATGTAGAAATCAATGAAGATGGATAATTTTGCTAAAACTTCAATTTTAATTAATTAAGTAGTTACTAGTTAGTAATAATATACAAATTTTGGTTTGATGATGATAGTTTCGTTTTATTTTGAGAGTTTACTTGCTAACAGGTCAATTTTCGGAATGGAATAAAACAATGAACTTGAATTCCTTCTATTTATTATAACGAATTAGGTATAAGATCCATTTATTACATAAGTTTATTTAAAAAAAAAGTTAAATAAGAAATTTTAACAATTTAAAAAGTTTGAATTTATAAGAAAAATAAGAAAAAATATAAATTATTAAAATTAATATTAATTTAATACATTGAATACATTATATATATAAATTATTTCTAATAAATACATTACATATATATTACTTTACATATTAAATATAGAATTTTAATTTAATAAAATGAAAAATACAATAAAATAATAAGTAGAAAATAGAAAATTCAAAAATTTTAGAAAATATCATGTGTGCAAATGAAGAAAAAGAAAACAGACAAAAAAACCCAAAGAATAGGTGAATGACTTATTTATATAATCAAATAGGTTTATAGCTTAGTAGTATAGGAGTTAGAAAGAAATTTGTTGCTCCCCTAAAAGTTGAGGGTCTAAGACTGGATGGAGTGGGTGCGGGAAAGGGGTGAGGGAAAGGTGATGGAAAAAAGTTACGGGAAAGAGATGCGGGAAGAGAGTGTCGCACTCTCTCCCTTCATGCTATTGGTCAGTTTTTTTTTTTAATATTTATAAAATTATATACCTATTAAAAAATATATCAAAATTCAGTATTTTTAATTCCCTACAAAATGAGGATAATATATGTATGAAATATATTTAAAAAAAAAAAGGAAAAGCTTCCCACTTATTCTTTGGTTTTTAGGTGAGAAAAAGAAAAGTAAGTAAAAAGAGGGTATGACCCACAAAAAATGAGGGAAGCTTCTCTCCCACACCCTCTAAGTCTATATAGATTTAGAAATAGAATAATGAGTTTGAAGATTTAGAAATAGAATAATGAGTTTGAAGATTTAGAAATAGAATAATGAGTTTGAAACTGTATAATTTAAAAATAAAGTAGTAATACGTATTATACCGTTAAAAAAAAACTTATTTATTTAATACATGCCTTGAGGGAGTTTAAATAAACAATGATTTATTTGATTTCAATGGATTATTTATAGGAGGTTGGTGATTTTCTTATTTAATGAATACGGCAATTTGGTTGCATATAAAATATCAATATTTTGTAAATTACAGTTGCATATATTTTGTAAATTAAGTTGCATAGAAAAAATCATTTCTTTTTAAATAATGAAAATGACCATTGAGATTGAAAACGAAGATTTTCGGACTCAATTATTGTGATCATTCCTATCTAAAAAGGAAGGAGATATTTTCTACTTAAAAAATTTATTAATACGTATAAAATACATTTTTGTAATTATCATACAATTCAGTAAAATATAAAATAATATGAATAGATTAATTTATTAAGTAGAAGAATTATCTCTCTATTTAAAATAGGTATTATAATTTTAATATGGATAGATTAATTTATTAAGTAGAATAATTATCTCTCTATCTAAAAATGGGTAGTATAATTTTAAAAATCGAGCACCATTTCGAAAAAGTTTTATTTGAAATTTTTTCTAAACCAACTCTGAACATAGAAAGTACGGGAAATTAAATATTATCACATTTTTGTTCCTACAAATCGTCGTATATATTAAATGATCACATGTATCATATTAGTATACTAAAATATCATTAAATTAACATTAAATGTTACACATGTCATTATTTAATTGGATATGATGATTTGTACGAACAAAAAGTATGAATATATTTAATTTCTAGAAAGAAAATGTTTGAAAAATAGGAAGAATACACTCATACAAAATAAATATATAAATAAAACTAGGGACTCCTCTTGTGCACAAAAAAAAAACATGTTTGATTTAGGAATAAAATAATGAGTTTGAAACTAAATTTAGGAATAGAATAGTGAGTAAGTATTTTATTGTTTATATTATTTATGAAAAAGAAAAAAAAAACCCCCTTATTTGTATATGTCATTGAGGGAGTTTAAATAAACAATGATTTATTAAATGATAAATTAAATATTCTTCTACTTTTATTCCAACAAATCCTCATACACAATTAAATGATCGCATGTGTCATATTAATATATTAAAATATCATTAAATGAACGTTACATATATCACTATTTATATGGATAGATGGATTTATAGGAATAAAAAGTAAAAAGATATTTAATTTCTCTTATTTGATTTTAATGAATTATTTATAGAAGGTTGGTGATTTTCTTTAATAAAGAATATGGCCATTTGGTTGCACAGAAAATATCAATATTTTGTAAATTACAGTTGCATAGAGAAAAGGGAAATAGATTTAATAAGGTAATTAACTTTTTAGTTTGTTTACATTTTAATAATTATCTTTTTTTTGTACACATCTAGATAACGAATTTTTTGAAAATATTCACATATAACCATTATGACCGGCTGTAGCAGGTTACATCCGGTCAAAACCGGTCATAATGGTCATATGTGAACACTTTCAAAAAGTTTGTTACCTAGATATGTAAAATTTTTTTTTACCTAGATATGAACACACCAGAAAGGTAAAAGTAAATTACATGAATGGTCATTGTAGTTTGGGTAATTTGTGTGTTTAGTCCCTAATTTATTTTTATAACTTAGATGATCCCTACTTTTTATTTTTGTTGTGTGTTTGGTCTCTGTCTTACCTCAAAAGACTATTGTGCCCTTTTTAATTTATTTTCAATTAATTTTCTTATTTATGTATTTATTTTTTATATATTTTAAAAAATTAATAAACCCCACATCAATATCTTCATTATCCCTTCTTTTTTGGTCCTTCAACTCTGATGAACCAACCCCACAACCCACTATCTCTTCATTGAATTTTCCATCACCACAATCTAATAGAAGGGTTGTGGGTTGGTTCGCTGGAGTTGAAGGACCGAAAAAAAATAGATAGTGAAGACGTTCATGTCATTAAAGATGGAAATAAAAGAGAAGTTGAGGAGGATAAGAGATGAGATGGTGATTGGTGGAACCGAACTAAAATTTCTCAAATGTACTTTAATGTATAGGGTTGAGGAGACATAAATATTTGGGGTCTATTAATTTTTCTAAAATATATAAAATTAATACATAAATAAGAAAATAAATTAAAAAGGGCATAATAGTCTTTTAATGTAAGATAGAGACCAAACACACAACAAAAATAAACAGTAGGAATCATCCAAGTTAAAAAAAAGAGTAAATTACTGAAATGGTCCCTATGGTTTGGTCAAAATTATACGTTTGGTTCCTAATTTTTTTTTTTTGCACTCGGATTGTCCTTGTGGTTTAAGTTTGTTGCGTTTTTCGTCCCTTATATACATAAAGTTAAGGACCAAACATGCAATTTTAACAAAACCATAGGGACGAAAAACGCAACAAAATCAAACCACAGGGACGATCCGAATGCAAAATAAAGTTAGGGACCAAACATGTAATTTTGACCAAACCATAAGGACCATTTCAGTAATTTACTCTTAAAAAAATATATTAGGTAACAAACGCACAAATTACCCAAACTACAGGGACCATTTGTGTAATTTACTTTTACCTTTTCGGTGTGTTCACATCTGGGCAACAATCTTTTTTTGTACACATCTAGGTAACGAACTTTTTAAAAGTGTTCACATATGACCATTATAACCGATTATGACCGTATGCAACCTGTTACAGTCGGTCATAATGATCATATGTGAACACTTCCAAAACATTTGTTACCTAGATGTGTACAAAAATAAATTAAAACATTGTTTACGGGATTTAAACTGCTTCAATGATTTTATTTTTATAATAGAACTACATTAAAATACACTATTTTATAGTACAACTGGTGGATTCCATGTAATTCTATACAGGTGGTTTTCATACAAATACAGTACAATATGTTATTTTTGTAATACAGTACAATATATAATTCGGGGAAACATTCATGATATAGTTTTATTTATTAATAAGACAACAGTATACTATTTCAGAGAACAGTAACAAACATATATTTTGGTCTTAAGGCCTAAGACTACATTTCATTTACTAAAGAAATATTGGATTTTCTGGAGGAACATATTAACATTTTGCAAGGAACAATGACAACCTTTCCAACACAAAAACATACTTATGAACTCACAAACTTAAATGTTGATACACTATCAAAATCACTTGTATTCTCAACGAACTAGTAGACAGGTACAATACATGTTTTTGAGAAAACAGAGCATTCATGGTGTCTCGTCTTTAATTTTTGCTATACATTTTGATGTTATACAAACTATATTGCAAATACAATGTAAACACTATATTATCAGTGCAATGGTTGTTGTTACTTTGATTGTTATTATTTAATTGTTCTGATACTATAAATAACGTCCTTCGGCCCCGAACGTTTCCGTCATTCCGGTTTGGAAATGTAACATCTTACCTCTTCGGTTTGTTTACATTTGAGTAACTATCTTCTTTTGTGCACATCTAGATAACAAACTTTTTGGAAGTGTTCACATATGACCATTATGACCGGTTATGACCGGATGTAACCTGCTACAGTCGATCATAATGGTCATATGTGAACACTTTCAAAAAGTTAGTTACCTAGATGTATACAAAAAAAGATAGTTACCCAGATGTGAACAAACCGAAAACTATTTCCCTATAAAAAAAAATCATTTTTTTAAATAATGAAAATGATAATTGTAATTGAAAAAGTGGATTTCAGACTCAATTATTGTGATCATTCTTATCTAAAAAGGAAGGAGATAATTTCTACTTAAAATTTTGATTAATCCATGTAATTATCGTACAAATTACTAAAATATAAAATAATATGGATAAATCAATTTATTAAATAGAAGAATTATCTTTCTATCTAAAATAAGTAATATAATTTTAAAGTGAGAATTTCATATATATCATTTTTAAACATCAAAATATCATATTTACCCAACTTAATTTCTAAATATCATATTTACCCTTCATAAAATTTCTAAATATCATATTTATCCTTCATAAAATTTCAAAATATCATATATGTCCTTTTTAAACATCAAAATATCATATATTCCCTTCTTAAATATCAAAATATCGTATATGCACTTTCTAAACATCAAAAT